CCAGGCCAGTTTTCAGGTTTCAGCGCTCTCACACTTTGAATGACAATTGCGCGGTCATACAACATTGTACCCAAACTAAAATTTTATTATTTTCTTCACACAACTAGAGCTTTCTTTTGGTGGTATTTAATCACCGCTGGGGTTTTTATTTTTTGCTAAATTAACAAAAAAAAAGCCCAAAAATTTTTAAAAAAAAAACCCACGTTTTTCTTTGTTTCTGTTATAAAAGTTTACAAATAAATAACTGTTCTTCATAAATTTAGGCCGAGATGTATTCTGCTACATGTCTTTGGTGAAAATAACCCAAATTAGGATGTATTTTGTAGTTTTGTAGGAAAGTTATAGAGTTCACAAACTATGGTATAGATCTGAATATTGATCAATCCTGAAGTACTGACAGCCAGGTCCAAGAATGTCAGAATAGTACAGATATCCCCAAATGACCCCTTTTTGCAGAGTAGACAGTCCGATACTTCATAAGAGGAATGGCGAGTTTTTTGAAGCTGTATTTTTTTTGTCATAATTTTTCGGAAAATTAAAAAATTAAAAAAATTATTTTCACTATTTTTTTTTTTTTTTACATACTGTCACCAGTGCAGTACAGCGTCATCATATAACTGGCATGGCGGTGAACAGGGACACTGACTGGTGACAGTATGAAAAAAAAATACATATATTTTTTTTAATTTTTTTTTATTTTCTAATTTTTTAAAAAAAAAATTTTTTTTTTAAGATTTTTTTTTTAAGATTTTACTATGACCAAAGTAGTACCGAGGTACACGGCCGGTGGCAGATCGCACCGCTGCGCGGCTCTGCAACCGCGCAAACTGTGCATGTGCAGGAGGACGCCAAATGGCGTGCACCCGGAAAGCTAAAGCATTTTTGCGGCCGGAAAACGGCTATAGGCCGGGCGGCTAATGGTTAAGTGTGAGACCCATAAAGTTTACAGAGACCAAGGCACCAGGTCAAGTACTAATGATTGTTGTTTACCTGGTCCACTGGTGAAATCTACACTAGTTCACATCTATCATTATCTTCATTTATACCGAGCTTTCTCTCCAATGTTTAGTGTAGACTAGTGATGTCATCAAATTATTTTAATATATATCTTAATTTATTTGTAATGAGGTTTAGTGAAACTAAACAATGGTCAATATTAGAAACTATTCTTATATAAAATATATATTGGTATTACATAAAGAAAGGGGGTGAAAAAGTGGAAACACTGAGATTTAATAAAAGACAGCTTTGAGACTAAAGTTTTAATTACCTTAAAGGATAAGTTCACCTTTGGGAACATGTTACATGTGGAAGAGGTACAACCTGAAAACGCGTCAGCCACCAGCTATTCAGAGGTCTACAGTCCCCCACCAGACCACCTTCAGGGGTTTTGGACCACATTGCATCCCTTGTGACATGCTTTCCATTTGATTTTATTTTTCTTGTGAGTATTTTATATTTTATAAATAAATCTCATTTTTAAAGGTAATGCACTAGGCCCATGCGCACTCTTTTTGTCTCTTTATATACAATGCTACACCTGCTGCCCACTGCCCCTACTACACCCCCATCCCCTACACCCCGTATGAGCAAGCAGATATACTGACAGGTCTGCAGGAGGCTTGCATGGCACTGGTGCAATGCTTTACAGGTTCCTGCACCCAAAAAAATAAATGCACATTTTTTTTACCTGCAAAAAAAATGTGTATTTATTATTTTTGGTGAAAAGGTGAACTTATTCTTTAAAACCATTTGCCCTCCAGAGTATTTATCCCCCCTTCCTGACCAGGCCATTTTTTTGCGATACGGCGCTGCATTACTTTAACTGACAATTGCGCAGTCATGCAATGGTGCACCCAAATGAAATTTATCTTTTTTCCCACAAATAGAGCCTTCTTTTGGTGGTATTTTTTTGCCTGTGCGGTTTTCATTTTTTGCGCTATAAAAAAAAAGAGACAATTTTGAGAAATAAAACTATATTTTTGCCTTTTTGCTAATAAACATGTCCAGTAAAAAAAAATCTAATTTCGTGAGAAATGTAGGCCAAAATGTATTCTGCTACATGTTTTTGCTAAAAAAAATCCCAATACAAGTTACAGCATTTACAAATGGTGGTATATATACTGGGATTTTTTAAAAAGTTTTTATTTTTACTAGTAATGGCGATCAGAGACTTATAGCAGGACTGTGGCGGGCAGTCTGACACTGGGGGGAACTGATTTGGCGTCACTGACATCCTCAGCGATACCACTACAGTGATCAGTGCTAATAAAAAGCACTGACACTGTACTAATGGCATTGGGCAGGAAGGGATTAACATGTGGGTCGATCAAAGGGTTAACTGTGTGCTGTTTTATTGTAATCTGTGTGTGTGTGCTTCACTGTAAGCACACTGCAATGCATGCTCTGCTATGCAAAACCATGCATAGCAGTGTGCAGGAGCTGACGGGAGAAAAAACTGTATTGTTTACTTACAATGCTCTCCCCTCCATGGCTTGCGCATGCCCCCTACCTGGAAATGCGAAATCACGTATATATACTTGATTTTGCGCACCCCTGCCGTCCTGTAGCAGTATATCTGCTATAGGGCGTCGGAAAAGCGGTTAAAGATGCACTTGCAAATACATAGGGGGTGATTTACTAAAGGCAAATAGACTGTGTACTTTGCAAGTGAAGGTACATTCATTTTTCCCAGAGCTTAGTTAATGAGGTGAAGTTTCACTTTGTACAGAATACCCAATCAGGTGCAAGGAAAAAAAACAGCATTTTTGCTTGCCCTTGATTGGATCAACAGAGCTTCACCACATTCACTAAGCTCTGGGGAAAATGAGGGCAAAGTGCACAGCCTGTTTGCCTTTAGGCTAGGTTCACACTAGTACAGCTGTGATTTGATCTGACCATTTTGCTTGCATTTTTTAATGCGTTTTAGATACCACTGTGTTTTTGATGGGGGAAGGAGACTGAATGCTGGTTGTTAGTAAGCCTTATCAATCTGCAAAAACCCAGTAAATAAATATGTATATGTGTTCTTGGTGCATTTCCATTAAAGTCTATGAGGCTAAAATAGAACCACGGTCACACCAAAGTAGCACAGGACCCATTTTCAAAAATGCGCCAAGCTGTGCTGCATTGATGTGAACAGGCACCATAAACCGTAATGTGATTTCCATTGCCGTGCAATTCAAGCCGCATTTAAAATCGCACTAGTGTGAACCAGGTCTTTGGAAATCAACTCCATAGTGTTGTATACAGTCTTTTCCAGGACAGATTTAGTGCAGTTGATTTACTAAAGAAGCAGAGAATGTTCATTTAGCTTGTTAAATAAAATTAAGCTTTGCTCACTTTGATCAACCAATCCTCTGCAAGCAAATTCTATTTTTTAAAAATGTCCCTGCAAATTTGGGTAGAGAAAGTGAATAAACACTTTGCTATGTGAACAATTTTTTACCTCTCCATGAACAAAGCACACAGGCTCACATTTGGATTCCAAACCACAAGTTGCAGTCGTATGTGTTAGGCTTCGTGTACACGGGACGTTTGGAAAACACTTCTGAACGATGGAAACTGACTGCTGGAAAACGTAGGTCAAAAAACATCTGTTTAGCCGCATTTGCATACCGCGTTTATGTGCGTTTGCGTTTAGAAGTGTTTTTTTAAAAGATAACATCAGGAGACTTTCAAAAATGCCCAGAATGCACTGAAAAACAGTAAAAAATTAACTATTTCAGACATTTTGAGAGGAAATAGAGAGAGCAGAAGCAGAGAGAGCAGTAAGTGTTGAGATGACCTGTCTTTTCTGGTTGTATTCACTATGGATCCCATCATGGGCATAATGCAGCACGTTCTACCATTTTTTCCTTCACGTGAAACTTGGAACTTACTGCGCTGGTGTACCAGGTCCATTTGAGTACATGAAAAACACTTTGCATGCATTTCTGATGATGAAAAAAGGACAGCATTTGGATATGGAACAGTTAAAAAATGCTTCTAAACGCAAATGCTTATAAACGCGGTTAGCCGCATTTACAAGCGTTTGAAACGCTGATAAATTCTACTCCTGAATGCAACTTTGGTGTGTTAAAAAAAAAACGACTGTAAACTCAACTGCCTGTAAACGACTGTAAATGACATAGTGTACATGGACACATAGGAAAACAATAGGGAGAGGGGCTGCTGAAAAAAACTCAGAAAAAAACTCAGAAAAGCTCCTAAATGTGAGTTTATCAGCTGCAGTTTACGTGAACCCTTAGTGTGTTGTTGACTACCTGAGCTTTGAGCAGGAATGAAGACACCAAGACAGAGGGGTTTATTTACTAAAGCTGGAAAGTGCAAAATTAGGCTCACTTCTGCATCAGCTTCTAACCTCAATTTGTTCAATTAAGCTTTGGCAATAAAACCTGAAAGCTGATTGGTTTCTATGCAAAAGTGAAGCCTAATTTTGCACTCCCCAGGTTTAGTAAATAGTAAAGTCTGCCATCTAAACTGGTGTCTAAAAGCTTATGGAAGAGGAAATGGTCTGTTAATGGCTTATGAAAATGATTAGCTAAATGTATATTTTCTGCTCAAATCATATGTACTTTATATGTATAGTGGATAGTTTCATGCTAACATATGTAGGGCTTAAAACAACGAGTACATTCTACTGTCAGCTACAATATGAGAAGCGTCTTATGCTCCTGTTGTTCAGTAATGCACTGATCTGTATGCTGCTGTTAAAGTTATATTTGTGATTAGGACTTATGATACCAGTCGTGAGGAAGGTCACGCAGGGCTAGGCCCAGCGATTATATCTCTGTGCCCATAATGGTTTTTTTTTCCATAACTTTGATTTTGTTTTAACAAGACTTTCTTTTGTTAACACTTCCTAGGGCAGGCTGCACACATTTATTTTTTTTTCTCTCTTTATAGTATGAGTATTTTTTTTTTTACTTGAACAATCAGGAAACTTGTTTCCCTGTTAATGAGAAATTATGGAATCTTATTTTCCTTTCTTTTTTTAGATGGAGACAGCAGAAGGGAGTATGAAAGGGATACCAGTGGCACGCCATTACATGGGGATGCAGCCCACCAGCAACTTATGTCCAGAGTTCTTAGCCCTTCACTTCCTGTACCAGGAGGACTTGTGCCCCTTAGCACTGGCAGACCCAGTCCCCCCCATGAACTGCGTCTGGACCCACACTCTCAAGGTTCAGAACCTCTTCATCACCACCCATACAAGTACCCCACAAGCTACGATCACTATTTAGGAGCAAAAACCAGACCGACCCCCTATCCCTTGCCAAGCATTAGAGGACATGGCTACCATCATCACCATATGAACCCAGCAGCAGCTAACATGTATTCCACAGCTGGTGCACCAAGCAGTTATGAATATGGGCCAAGATAACAACCAATGGAACAAAACCATCTTACTGACAACTATTTAAAGTTATTAGACAATGGATGTTTTATGCATGATTTTAATTGTTCAGTAGTGTATGCTTTGGATATTACATTACTGTTGAAATTAAACTTGCCCTCTCCCTAAACTCATTAGGGCAGACCTTCAGTTTCCATTGTGATTGTGACAGCAGCCATCAAACAAGCCGGGTCTTCCACCTAATCCTGCTGGGGCTGTTATGACAATATGTCAGGAGGAAGGACAAGCTCTACCAACAAAGGCACTTGGGAGGTGTCATTGACTTGCTGTGATGCTGTGCAGTGGGGGCACACAGTGACAAGCTAGGAATAATAACGTGGAAGTCTGCACATGTTCAGTTCTACCAATGCTACTGGATGGGAAAAAAGCAGCTTCAGCCATCTCATCTGCACTGTTGGATGACTGTATCTTTCATACTTACTTACAAAAGGGCATTGACTTCTGCAAGGTCAGCTGCACTATTCTTGCATAAATGAAGCCATATGCTTTCGTTGCTGTGCTCTTTGATTGTATTTTGTGAAAATAAATGTACAGTATGGTTCTGTTTATGCTCAGTGGCAAAGGAACTGTGAGGTATTAAGATACTTTTTTTATTTTCACTATTTTGGAGAGTGAAGTGTTGGCTGCACTATTGTAAATGAAATTGCACATTCTGTGCTATTAAACTACAACCATGCAAATGATTTCTGTATATCTTATGTTCCTTCGACGAACTACCAATCCCATGAGATAAAACACGAGGTGCACGTATTGGTGTATATTTGCAGTTCTGCCGCAGACACGCAATTTGGTTCATCCAACAACCTAATTCATAATTCAAAGGGTCAATGGGAAAATTGTGTTTTATCAAGCCAAATGTTTTGTATTTGCAGTGTATTTTTTAAATCAGAGTTTTGTTTACCTGCAAAGTAATACTTTTAGTGTTGCCGTAAACACTTTGCCAGGTTTGATCGAATATTTCCACATCGGTTATCTGCAGAAATTACATTCTTCATGTACGTTTGTCCCAATTCATCTGATGAAGCCAAATCTGTATGTTAAAGCCAAACCAACATTGTTGTACGGCAGACTGGAAGTGTCCCTGCTTTTTTATTTATTTACCTGAACAGAATTAAGCAACTCTTTTATTTATTTCCTTCTGGAGACTTACTGAAAATGTAGTAGTAATTTACAATGAAAATGGGACTTCCTTTTCTAAAGCTCTGTAGATAGAAATGGAGATACATTTGTAGATATGTATGTAGAGAAACGAAACCTGTTGAGAAATGAAAAAAAAAAAAAATGAATGGTTGCTTGCATAAATATTATTTTTTTTTGTTGGATCTAGCCTTGCATTCTTTATTCTGTGTAATTTGAGGAAACTGGTTAGTCACATAAGAAAATGCAACAGCATGCCCATTCCCAAGAAAACGTCCATCACAGCATGAAGCAACATGGCTGATATAGATGAGGGAAAATAGATAAAAAGAACAAATGAATTCTTCGGACAATGCAATCATCTAAAATGGATCACTTTTCACTTTGGAATTGCAAGACTGAAGGAATCTCACTTTTCAGGATTAGTAAAATCAGGTGCTCTGTTTATAGTGGAAAGTGTCTGTAGCAGGGGTGGACTGACCATTTGGAAACTCGGGCACTGCCCGAGGGCCCAGGGTCAGTAGTGGGCCCCATGAGATGCCCCTGGTACCTTTTTCATAGGCTTTTTTGAGTTTGGGCAAGGACACAAGGGCCCCATGATCCCCTATTTCCCTGGGGCCCCATGAGTTGTCAGTCCGCCCCTGGTCTGTAGTATTTGCCCTGTACCCTGCTTAGCGTGCTACTTTCCTTAGGGTGATAGATAAGGGTTGATTTATTAAAAGTGGAGAGTGCTGAATCTGGTGCAGCTCTGCATAGAAACCAATCAGCTTTTTTTGTCAAAGCTTAATTGAACAAGCAGACGTTAGAAGCTGATTGGCTACCATTGTACAGATGCACCAGATTTTGCAGTTTTAGTAAATTAACACCATATTGTTCACTTTGCAAAGCAAAAGCAAGTCTTTAGGCCTTAGCTTAAAAAAAATGCTTCCCCTGGCAAAAAAAATGAGTGTTTTTGTACAGTTCCCCTGCAGAAAACGCAAACCAGAACGCTCATTATAGAGCGTTTTTGTACACGTTTAGGTGCATTTTTAGGAGTGTTTAGGGAATATTGCATGCACACTTTTTTTTTTTGTTTCAGGAAATAAAATAACACACTTCACACAGAATATAACTGGATACTAACATTTTTAGGTAAAGTTGATCCAGGGAATATCCAATTGCCTCTCAAAGGATCAGGAAATAATTTTTTCCCTGCAGGAGCAAATTGGATCATGCTTTGATTTTTTTTTTTGCCTTCCTCTGGATCAACTGTGGGTGTAGGATTATAACTTTTGCTTTTTTGCTTTTTTTTATGGTTGAACTGGATGGACTTTTGTCTTTTTTCAACCAGACTATGTAACTATGTAACTTCCAGTCCCTAGATGACTTGACTAACTCCACTGTATCTATGAAAGGAGCCATGGTTGGTTGGTACCTTGGCTGAATTCAAACAGTTTCATTTCCATCACATCAAAGAGGAAGATGAGACGTTTACAAAGAAAATATACATTAGTTTTATTCTTCCAGTTCAGCTCCCAGAAACTGACAAGGACAATGCAATTCTGGCAGATATTTTACTTACTTTCAGCATATGTTCTACAGCTTGACAAATGAAAACAAATGCAGCCACCACATCTAAGGACTGGTGAGCTGCAATATACAGTATTACATCATGTTTTTCATGGGTTTAATTATCCTTTACTGAGGTTCTGTATTTATTAATACACCATTAACTGTACATTTTCAAGTGCAAGCAATGTATGTACCTACATTTTACTTGGTATCAGCCTCTTGCAGGTCCTGTACAGCAAAGCTCACTGGGAGAATGAGAAACCGTGGGGTGCCTAGATGCTACATGGGACAGAGCTTGCTGACTGGAGGAAAGAGCAGAGTTACAGAGAGAGAAGCTATCAGTCTTCTGCCTATTATTTTACTATCTTTACTTTTTCACTTAGCTAAGCAAACATTTACTGTGCAAATATTCTCTGTTCCTTCAATATACTCTGCTATGTCTGTTGCTCTTTTTGAGCTCCGGAACAAGATTAGAATTTAACTTTCATTTTGGGTCTGTAAGGGCCCATGCACACTGGGCTAAAGAAATGCCGCTTTTATGGGCGTTTGGCTTTTTTTCAGCCTGTAGAAGCACCTCTATGTATGTCTATGGGGGGATTTACTAAAACTGGAGCATTCAGAATCTGGTGCAGCGGTGCATAGGAGCCAATCAGCTTCTATCTTCATTTTTTTTTAATTAGACCTTGACAATAAAACCTAGAAGCTGATTGTTTTCTATGCAGAGCTATATCAGATTTTGCACCTTTAGTAAATCTCCCCCTATATGTCCATGTACACATAGGTGCTTACAGGAATATTAAAAGAGGAGTGTTTACAAGCTGAAAAAAACAAAACAAAACACCAAAGGCACATTCAGGAGAGGAGATGAACAGCAGAAAAAAGTGCAGAATGTTCCTACATGCGTCTAAACACACCTAAACGCTTAGAGGCATATATGTGCGTTTGAGCATTTGAGCAATAATGCGTTCCAATGGTCAGAACAAATTAATATTCTGGCCAATGAAATCCATTAATGCTCAACGTATTATGTGCCTAAATGCTCTTAAATGTGGCTATCTGCATGTGCAATATTTGGCTTTTACCGCATTTTTTTAGCAGCTTTTTTCCTGCCAGGAGTTCAGAAGATCTAAACAGACACTCTGTGCACATGAGGACTTATAACACCAAATCATCTAAACCCTTACTGGGTAATGTGGGTAACACTGGCCCCTAGTTATATTGGAGCACACAATTTATAACCATCTGTTTAGATGATATTTCAATAGCAGAATTCTGAAGCAAAATTTTTTGTTGTCTATAAAAAAAAAAAAAAAAATCACTCTCATAAGTCATGAAGACCTGTAAGAGAATAATTCTTAAATATTGTGACTTTGCTGCACAGATAGAGGGGTAGTTAAAAACTATCACCTGTAAAATGTTTGTTTGATGAAAATTAATGAACCTGTGTACTTTAGCTAAGTAACATTTTAGACAACGTTCTTACATGGAGTCAATTTTAAATTTTATTTAAAACACATATCTGCCAATATAAGAAAAAATAGAAAACGACAGGCAATAATATAAATAATACAGTTTTAATTATAAAGGACCTTGTATCAAAATGTAAACATTACAATCATTCACATATTAAATCAAATATTAGCCACTTCTGCTCCAGAAAGTTTTACCCCTTTCTTGACCAGGTCATATTTTGCTATTCAACACTGCGCTGTCTTCATAAATTCAGGCCAAAATGTATTCTGCTACAGGTCTTCAAACAAAAAAAAAACAACAATAAGTGTATATTAATTGGTTTATGTGAAAGTTATAGTATCTACAAACTATGGGATATTTAAAAATCAAATATGAAAAGTGATTAGTCCTGGTGTACTGACTGCCTGCCTCACTTCTTGAGGCCCTAAAATGTCAGGACAGTACAAATATCCCCCCAAATGACCCCTTATTGGAAAGTAGACAGTCTGAGGTATTTAGTAAGAGACATGGCATGTTTTTTGAAGTTGCAATTTTTTCACAATATTTTGAGAAATTAAGAAATTACATTTTGTTTTCACATTTTTTTAACCTACTATCACCAGCAGAATACAGCATCATTATATGACCGGTGTGGCGTGGTCAGGGATACTGACTGGTGACAGTATGTTAAAAAATAAATA